GTGAGATGAATTTGTTAAACAGAACACATATGTTCTGAAGGCAGTGTAGACTAAGTTTTGTTAACATTTGCTTCAGGTATTTCTCTAAATGGTGCATTTTTAAAACTTTTCCACTCTCAATAAAAGTGTCCGGATGCTCAACTGCATCAACTTTGATTAAATTCATACATATGTAGATCATAACAGTTGTATTTTTCTTTGGCTTATAGAATCTATAAGATTCTATAAGAATCTATAAGAATCTATAGATCGCCGAAATAGTATTGTAGGTGACACTTGCACAAACTGGTATCCTGATTTCTTCGCAAATTGATTTTAATTTTTTTATTCTAAAGGCCGTTTTCTCGTCAGTCATGGAAAGTAAAGTTTACCACCCGTTACTCGTAGAGTAAAAGGGTATATTGTATTCGTGCAAAAGTATGTATCAGCTAGAAGGAAGCGTTTCCGACCCCATAAAGTATATATATTCTTGATCAGGGTCACTAGCCGAGTCGATCTAGCCATGTCCGTCTGTCTGTCTGTCTGTCTGTCTGTCTGTCTGTCTGTCTGTCTGTCTGTCTGTCTGTCTGTCTGTCTGTCTGTCTGTCTGTCCGTATGAACGCTGAGATCTCAGAAACTACAAAAGCTAGAAGGTTGAGATTTTACACACATATTCTTGGGCTTCCTACGCAGCGCAAGTTTATTTCAGACGAGCGCCACGCCCCCTCTAACGCCCACAATCGCCCACTAACGATTTTAAAATGTGTCTGGCGGCCACTCCTTTAAAGATTTCCGAGAAGTATAAATGCAATTTTGTTGTGTATATTTATACCTATCGAAAGATTTCCGAGAAGTATAAATGCAATTTTGTTGTGTATATTTATACCTATCGAAATGCAGCAGAAATTTTTCAAATCGGACCATTCATTAAAAAGTTATTCGCAAGCGTTCTCTCTTGTTTATTATGGAAATGGCGTTTGTTTTAAAATGTCCAAAGCCTAATAAAAATTTTATTCAACTGTATCAAAATATATTTATATTATGATAGCCGGAGAAAGCAGACGTGTTTTGCGCGAGCTCCGGAAAAACCAGTTTAAAAGTGGAAAACGAAAACAAAATGCCCGACTATCAGAAAGGAAGTGCGAGGGAGATTGAGATATAAAACTTTGATCGCGAATAACTTTTCAGCAAATGGTCCGATTTAAAAAATGTTGTTTACATTTCGATAGGTATTGATAAACACAATAAAACTGCATTTTTACTTTTCCGAAACTCAATAAAAATAAAAAAAAATAAAACTGCATTTTTATTTTTCTGAAATATTTAACGGTGTGGGCGCCAGTCCCCTTTTAAAATCGTTTAAGGCGATTGTGGGCGCTAGAGCAGGCTGAAACAAACTTGCGCTGCGTAGAAAGCCCAAGAACATGTGTGGGTAATCCCAACTTTCTAGCTTTTGTAATTTACAAGATCACAGCGTTTATTGAGCTATACGGATAGTTACGTATCTATAAATAATAGTTACGTGTATTTTGTTTTTCTTTGGGTGTGTGTCTTTGCTAATTGTGTGTATTGATTGTTGTGAAAGTAACTATTTAATTAGTAGAATTGACAATTTTTGTGGTTGGGGACTGTTTGACAATTATATTGGTTAATTTTACCAAGTTTTTTTTGTGTGTAGTAAAGAAATTTGTTGCGTTAGTCGGGAAAGACAACTCCTCTTGTTAAAGGGAATATTCACGAAGCAAAGCTAGGAGCGCATTTCAGATTCAATTCCTCGGCATGCATCACACGACCAGATGAATTCACTTGGCAAAGCAACACAATAGGTGTTAAAGGGGCCTTGGCGATCGGCTGAAACAAATTTGCGTTGCGTAGGAAGCCCAAGAATATGTGTGGGTAATCCCAATTTTGGAGCTTCTGAGATCTTAACGTTCATACAGACAGACATGGCTACATCGAGTCGGCTAGTGATTCTGACCAAGAATACAAAATACCGTTTTACTTTACGAGTAACGGGTATAAAAATGGGTATTCATTTTCCCGATTTTCAATATGGGAGGTAACTTTGCCAGGGACATGGACTACCTTTTAAGTATTTTTCGCCTCGACAAAATGACAGTTGATTTGGACGAAATCGGGGGTTGGAGCTAAACTGAAGTTCACCCAAAAGTCGTACAAAACAAAACATTTTATATGAAAAAACTATCAAGAAATTTTTTTTCCTATGGGCATTTCCAGGAAAAAGTCAACCAAACTCCAAAAACTAACAGCTGGCGGAAAAATTTCTTTTTTGGTTTAAAAACAGAATTAGGATTTATAGTTTGTGAATCAATTACATTTCCTTTCAAATTAATTTTTTACACAAAGATATGCAGCTTTCAAGCATGAGCAACATATGCTGTATATCTCAGCAACATTTTGATGTGTTTTCGTAATATTGCTATGCCTTCTGTGGAAGTCTCAAGATCAAGCAACCAATCCTACAAATTAGTTTATAGCAAGTGCTATTAGGAAAAAAAAGACTTCTTTAATATTAATGGATTAGGTGTTTTTATTGAAGTTTGTTTTTAAACATTTTGATTGTCGTGTCCGTAATCAAAAGACCTCATTTTTTCTTTTCACTCGTCCAATTCGCGACACATATAAACCAGCTTTTATGCCTAAAGCAAGGATATTTGAAACAAATTAATTAAAATTTTTTGACAAAAAAAATTAGCGCACTAATATTTTTAAAGAAATTTTAAAGTCTGTCTCGTCCGTAATTTCAATTTTTTATTATTAGAAAACAATTGCTCATAATTTTTTTGTGAAGCTAGTTATACCCGTTACTCGTAGAGTAAAAGGGAATATTATATTCGTGCAAAAGTATATAACAGGGAGAAGGAAGCGTTTCCGACCCTATAAAGTATACATATTTTTGATCAGGGTCACTAGCCGAGTCGATACAGCCATGTCCGTCTGTCCGTCCGTATGAACGCTGAGATCTCGGAAACTACAAAAGCTAGAAGGTTGAGATCCACACATATTCTTGGGCTTCCTACGCAGCGCAAGTTTATTTCAGCCGAGTGCCACGCCCCCTCTAACGCCCACAATCCCCCACTAAAAATTTTTAAATGTGTCTGGCGCCCAAACCTTTAAAGATTTCCGAGAAGTATAAATGCAATTTTGTTGTGTATACTTATACCTATCGAAATGTAGAAGACATTTTTCAAATCGGACCATTCAATAAAGAATTAAACGCAATCAAAAAAAATGGTATGTATCCATCTCCCTCGCACTCCCTTTAGCCGAGTGACGGGTATTAGATAGTCGGGACAACAACCCGACTATAGCGTTCTCTCTTGTTCTTTTATTTAAAGCTATGAAAAACGTCGAAGTCCTTGCTTTTAATAAACTTTATTTAATAATATTTATATTATTTACAACTAATTTTGCTATCAGAGAGAAAGCACTTATCCAGTTTCAATATGCTCGAGAATAAAACTTCTTTACATTCCGTGCCAAAGAAGTGGAGGAATTTTCGTTACCACTACAATTTAAATGTTAAAGTGTTGTACAGATTCCAAAATACACCATGCATCTATTACCAGACAATTCGAAATTTGTATGGGCCTTACAGCCTTTCCAACTAAAAACATAATTTAATAAAATACTCGATACGTGCAACATATTTCTAAGATTAACTTTGTTTAAAAAGGGATACATTTTTTAACAGTTGTACTTTGGCTAAATTTCTGCACTTATTAGCAGAATTTAATTAACTTTTAACCACTTTGTCATACAATTTTCATAAAACAAGCTATATAAAAACTATGTTTCTATTAAAAAGAGGTAAATAAGGCTAAAAGAATTTAACCAAACTTTACAGGACGAACTTTTGTAACACGTATAATAGCTCTGCAACATTTTAACAAAATAAAAAGTTGCAATTTTTTATTAAGTACCAACATGTCGCGTCCGAAATTGTCGCGTCCGTATTCTTGCTCTAGTTTTCGAAAAAAAACCGCTGAATGTTTTGCCACCAAACTTTGATGTGTTCTGTTACTCAGCTGTTACTCTCTCCAGTTTTGCAAAATTTAAGGTTTTTCTAAAGTTTTTAATATTGCAGTTCTATTTTTGTCGAGTCCACCCCATAAACCTGAACAGCTGATGCAATAATCAAAGCCTCCCAGTGCTTGCGCATTCGACCTCAATTCACCCTTTGGTAGGGAATCAAGAAACCGACCGAGTGACGAGAAAGTTGGTGACTGTGAAAGCCTATTTAATAAAAAAGTATTTACACTAGGATGGAGTTATGGGGTTGTTGACATAACCCTGTTTTTGTATGGGCAACCAGATGTGGGCAAAAGTGAGGTACTTTTAGAGTATTTGGTATTTTTTGGTATAAGTAAGTATAACAAAAAAACAACAAACATAGCTGTCATTACATGTACATACATGTAGTTAACCTGGTGGAAACAATTATTTTTCAGTATTCTGGTTACTGGCTCCTTTACATAGGTCACCCCACATAATGTGACTGGACCGTTTTGAATAAAGCCTAGTACTCAGTTCGGCTAAGAGTTTCACTAGTCGAAAAATCTTATTCTTTTAGTGTGACCGAAGTTTTCGGGGTTCATCCGCAATGCATGTAGCATGGTCTTACTCTCAATCAACTGGGTTTGTTGACAAACAGCAAACATCAACTGGCGCCAATTTAAAAATTTTCAAAATGTTGAGCCAACCTGGGTTGCAAGCCTTAAATTTGCTGTTGGCATGGCGATATGTATTGCCGCAACTCCTACAGGCAGTTTTCCATTGGATTTTGGTTTTTTTTTTTTTTCATTTATAATTTGTTATTGGCACACCGCTTCTGCACAAACACAGCCAAAGATTAAATTTTGTATTCTTTGGGCCTCGGCTAAAGGCGTTCATCGGAATTCATCCACTAAATCTGGTATTTTTTGGTATTTCCTTACCATTTCCTTAGCTCAACTGAGTACCGCGGTGGAAAAAAGTCCCCGCTAATGGCCTTAGCTACCTATTTGCCTCTCGCTTTCTCCTATGGTTAGCTAGCAGTTTTCGTTGTACTGAGTACTAGGCTTAAGCTTAAGCATCCCTGATATAAATCAGCAAACAGAGATGCTTCATCGCTGTTGCGATTTTAAGCGGAAAACTGCTCACAAATGTTGCCGCTAACGAAAAAGCAGCTGAAGCCGTGAAAGAACAGAGAACAGCAAAGAGCAGAGTGAATATATCACCTAAGCTCGTCAAAAAAACTCGAAAAAGTACTGAAATAAATTCTTATTAAAAAAAAATTGTATGCGCAACTGCAGCTGTAGCGAAATATTAATGCGTAAGCACAAACACCCTCTGTCTGAAACGCTATTAAACATTGAATAAACAAAATTTATTTTTTAAAAAGTTATTCAATTAGAAATAAAAAATTAAATTGCATTTAATGGTGCAAATGTTTAGTATAACAGAACAACCGACATATATAAACTTAAAATTAACGTAACTTATTTTGAATTTTAGGCAATGAAATATAAAACTTTTTGGACGTCCAAGCGATATTTTTATATTATCATGCAGGATTCTAAAGGACTCAATGTCTAGTGTTTAGAGCTCTTACTCGATGTTTCTAGGATTCCGCTGTCGCAAACAAACATATAAAGCTGTAGAGATTATTTTGAGCTGTGCAAGGCTCTAATACCTAAGCCCATTAGTATTAATTTGTATTCTTCAAAATCAAAGTTGACATAGAATGTAAATGATAAAACATAAAATTAATAAATAGGTATGGTGGTTCAGTTTGACTAAATAAATTTAGTTACTTATTTTACTGACCGGTAATCCATACTTTAATTTTACAATTTATTAGTGTTTATGATTATGCACTTCATTTCCGTAAATGCGGCTGACGACAAGGGAATAATAAAAAAAAAATTATTCAAAATAACATTTAAATAATTCCAATATGAATTTTGTCAAGCTTTTCCTTAAAGCCCTACAATATAATAGTGTTATTGCGGAGGTCTGCAGCGTCCGGCCGATGCTCCAGAAAAGTCCAAGTCCTTTTGTTCAATAATGGGAATACGATCGTCATACAATGTTGGTGCTTGTAAAATTATTCCAGCGGTACCAACCACAACGGCCAACGTAAAAATCCACAAAAAAAGTCTATCCAGCACCATTGCAACGTATTTCCAGTCCTCTTTAACCTTTTAAAAAATTAAATACGTAAACATTATATAAGTATTGTATATTTATGGATATATTTATACATCTTACTCATAGATAAAAAGAAAAGCGGAGAGGTCTTGTGGTTTATTTATTATTAGTATATAGATAAAAAGAGAAGCAGAGAGGTCTGGTGTTTCGGATGGTCAGTAATTTGGGACATTGCACATTCTTCCATACATGAAAATAAAAACTTTGTTTTGCAAATACAATGATTTTCGGTGAACAAAGTTTAAGCGAAGAATTTATTAGATCAGCTTTTACCCTTTCTCTGCATATCAATATTAAGAGGGACAACTGAGTAAAATTTTGAAAAAATCGAAACTTTTTTTTTGTGGCTTAAAAAATTCTTAAGGGTTTTAAAAATAACATACCATTAGGTAAAGCCCGGAGTAAGTGTCTAGGTGTCGAATTTTGTATGTATATACCGGGCACCTTAAAACTTTAAACGCGTTTTTCTCGAAACCACTTTTATTGAGACTGCCGGACACCTAACTCGGACAAATCTTAGCCGATCGATCTGAAATTTTGACAGTATATTCAAAATACCTTTATCTATTGACACACGTAGGATTTTTTTTGCTTACTTTTTTTAATCAAAAATTTTGTAATTTTTTTATTTGTGTAAATTACTTACCATTTTGCAAATTTGAAATATCGCAAAAATCCTACGTGTGTCGATAACTGTTGTTTTTTTTTTTGGGCTTTTCGACAATCCAGTGTAGATTTTTTTGGCCGATAGTTGATGCGGCCAGGTACAGTGGAACGGTGATGTAGGATGTCATAGCAGCGTTCCCAGTGGTGAGAATTTGACCACAATAGTCAGGGAGTGTGTAGAAAGTAGGGTTTTTAGGGCCAGGACAGGGTCAGGGGTAAGGGAAAAGGGACAAGGGCGGGGAACGCGCTGGTTATGTGAAGCCTCTAGGGCTAATAATAACACTATGCAGCATCAAAAATTAACCTCGATGAATGCTATATTTTTGGATTCGTTACGAATTCCCAAGTTAAACTGCGTTTTCCAAAGAGTTCCCCGACGCAAGGATTCTTAGCAAAAGGACCTCAAAGTTCGAAAAATGCTGAAATTGGCCAACTTTGCGGAGCTCTCAGAGGCAAATGGATGCATGGCTTGGTTCGAAGTTAAAGTTTTTTAAAAAGGTATACATTGTCATAGGTGTGATCTGTTAGCAGTCTGTTGATTAGTTTGATGGTATAAGCATCCCATTTTAAATGAGAATGCCATGGAGTCTCTTCTATATTCGGAAAAATGTCTGCAAAAAAAAGATCCTTTAGACCGAGATAGCTCCTTGTAGTGGTCATTCCAGATAGAATAAACTCATTTTTTAATCTCTCTGAGCGCTTCAACTGTGTTGTAGTGTATTACTATAGTTTGTCCGTCTGTAGTGGCTTGTTTTTCCACCCTGTCAGCTTCCTCATTTACCTTAACACCTGCATGGCCTGGTGTCCAGATAATTTTGGCTAGTTTAAGCTCTTGCCAGGAGAGCAGACTATGAATTTCGCTACACAGATAGCATTTTGAACTTTTCCTCCTGAGCGAATTTATAGAGCCAAAACTATCAGTGTATATTACTAGATATTCAGTCTTTTTATCACAGGCATATGCCTGTTTTATTTAGTAAGTTTTATTGCAGTAAGTTCTGCAAAAAGCGACGACGTCTTCTTGTCCGATTTGTACTTTAAGTTAATTTTGTTAGTTATATCACAGATAGCCATGCCTGCCGTCTCATCCGAGATAGAGGCATCCGTGGCAAGAATCAGGAAGTTAAGACCAACATGCAGATTGAGAGATGCAAGGTGATCATTGCGCATATGTTCTAACGTCATGTCTTTTTTACTCTGGATAAAGGATTTCCCAATTAGTTCCAGTTTTTTAGAAGACTGATATATTGATGCTGGTCTTGTCTCATCAAAAATGTCTTGAAAAAACATGTAGCATCTATTATAACTAGAGTCCTTAACTAGCAACGTTGCTAAACTGTAGGTGTCAGGATTTATTGATATGACCTTAAGCAATTCTTTGGCTGTTAATATTTGCGATCTGAATGTCGGCGGTAATTCCCCTGCTAAGGCATAGCTAAGATGAGTTGGGGTACTGGGAGTGACACCTACACATCTTCTCAGCACTGAGAGTTGAGCTGTACTCATTAGTTTGTTTGAGGTCTCATTAAAGTTAGAAAAGGATGAAATGCTGTGCTCTTGCTTTGAACGTATAAAGCTTTTGTAGATGTTTACTGCCACTTTCGGGCGAAGACCAGCTTTAATGGTGGTAGCCATTTGCATCAGACGGTTTCCACTTTCTGTATCGGATTTGACTTTTCTGACATGATCAGTGTTTGACATATTAGAGTTAATAATCCTAGCAAGAAATTTTATGCTGAAGACTTGGTCAATTCTAATGTTATTGAGAGACAGATTAATTACTTTTTTTTTCCTGCTTTCATCAGCATAGCTGCTGACTTAGCTGGATTGATGTTGAGATTTATATCCGGACACAGTAGATGAAAATTTAGAATCTTTTCATTCAAAATGTCAATGGCTTGACTTTCAACTTTATGACTAACCATTATTACAAAGTCATCTGCAAACTGAAAAATCCTTGTGTTGTTATCATTAATTTGATGTAGTCTTTTTGAGTATATATTAAACAAAAGAGGAGATAGACAGCTACCCTGAGGTATACCACCACAAACCTCTTCTCTGCAATTTCCTAAGACAAGAACTCGTTTTGATAAGAAGTTAATGATCCAGTCAGTATAGATATGAGGAATTGGTTCAAGTCCGAGTAGGAGATCTAGAGTTTTCAGGCACACAGCATTATACGCATCCATAATATCAAGAAATACCAACAGAACTGTGTTTCCTTTTTGTTTTTGAAAGGTGACATTTGAAATTATGTCATTTAGGGCCATTTTCTCGTCCGTCCTACAAAGTAAAATTTAGCTAATAGAAGGATAAATTTATCCCGGTGGCAAATCAGTTTTCGTTTTCTCGTCCGTCATTGAAAACTCCAAATAAAAGGCGCACTAATTTGAGACTGGGTGGCAGCCCCACAATAGAAGAGTTAACTAATTGTCAAAAATTAATCGAAAAACTATCGAAAAATACCATAAAACAGTCATACTAACAGCTGATGATATAAACAAAATTTCAAACTAATAAAAAACAATGTCGGCAGAAAGAAAGTTTCGCGTTAAAAATTATACCGATGAACAGGACACAATTCTTGTAGAACTGGTGTCTTCGGAATCGCCTCCGGGAAATTGAATTCTTACATGCGTGCAATCTATGGCTCCTATCTTGGACTCTCAGAAACTTGGCTATTTTATAAAAATCAACAACATTTTCTTGAAGATCTTTAATACGCCGGTACTTCATAAATTGTTTTGAAAAAGATGCTATAGCAAAATTAACGCCCTGAACAACTCGACTGGCAGTGGCAGTAAGAAAACTGCCGCTTGCGTAGAATCCAAGAGCTATTAGAAGCTTAACCCATGTATTATCGTTTCCCGATAATAATGGTTTGTGATTATATGGAATTAGTTAAATCAAATGAATGCACTTACTGCTTTACTTTAAATTCAAGTCGCAAAACATTTTTTTGTAAAACAAATTTCACCGCTTTTTCTTAAGAGAACCCTTTTAACAAATTCATCATCACTGTAATGTTCGAAGTAATTTCTTTGGTCGTGATATCTGCGCCGATAGGTTCGCCCTTCAGACAATTCGACGATATCCCACAGAGTTTGAAGATAAATCGCTCGGGAATTCATTTTAAAATCAATTGGATGACATTAACAATTTTTATTTGTATTTAACTGTAAATAGAATCACCTGTTTTCGAATGAAGAGTGGAACCAGATTGACAACGCTCAAATGTCTGGCAACACTTGCGCACAATCCAACCGCACAAATTTTGCACGTTGGATGAAGTACCGAGACAAAATTTGTCCCTACCTGCGCTAACATAAGGACGAGTAAACCATTTTTTGTTTATCGCTCCGTTGTCCCGGCAGGCAAACTAAAGTACGGACGAGAAAACGGCCCTTAGACACATACCAGCAGATCTGTCTTTTCTATACGCATACGATCTTGTAGGGAGACTGTCATTTTGCTCTATTAGCGATGTGATTCTGTTCTTGATAATGCCATTAATAGTCTTCGCTAGGACAGAGATAAGTGAGATTGGTCTAAAGTTGCGTAAATTTTCCAAGTCTCTTCCTATCTTAGAGATTGGAATGACTTTGATTAATCTCCATTCCTGTGGTAGCTCACAATTTGAAACATGTTCATAAAAGATATTAAGCAGTTCTTTTTTAGCACTATCAGATAAAGCATTCACCATTTCATAGGTTATGCCATCTAGACCACCTGCTGAACCCTTTTTCTTCAAAAGAACATCCTGCAGTTCACCTATGGAGAATCTGTCAAGCATATTCTGAGAACTAGATTTTCTTGGGCTGAAAACGTATGTACTAGCTACTTGATGTAGAGTTACGAATGGTTTCCTTTTGGGCAGCCACCGTTATCCTAAATTCTCTAGCTAATTCCTGAGTCCACCAATATTTTGGATGCTGATTTTTGGCTAATATGACCTCATTTTTCCCTTCATCTTGACAGATAGCTCTTGGATTGAAGAGGGTTCATTAATTTTACCAAGCATAGATTTAAGTCTATTTTTAGCTAGAAATTTTCTCTTTTTCAGGTGATGGCTACCACCAATCCATACAGGGTTGATACTGTGAGGAGTTAAATAACTCCGCACAAATAAACACAAGAAATACATGGAGAACTACATGGAGACCGGCCGCACTTTGGACTTTAGTGTAGTGCCGTGTGCAGAGGGCGAAAGGTAAACGGTAAACCGTGCACTTTGGACCCTGAAGTGGAGAGTTGGAGAGAGAGTTGGGAGAGTATCAACCCAGAGAGAGAGAGAGAGCAAAGAGAGGCGTCAGAGCGAGACGGC